TCTACCCCATTTCCATTGTGTCCACTGTATCCAGAGACCCGTAGGTGGCTTTCCCCAGACCTACCCGTCTTTCCCTATGGCTTCGAGGACAGCCTTACCTTCTTAAACCATGCCTTCTGGCCTCAAGCCCAGAACTCCAAATCATTAACCCGATAAAGTCCAAACTCTAGCCTGTGTTCCGGGCTCTGACCACTGGCCCTGCTCTGAGAGTCCTGTCTTAGTACCACCTGCAGGGCAGCCCAGCAGCCTCACCACCTTGCTCTTCCTGCCTCCGAGGTCTCCAGCCTGCCGAGGTCTGCCAAGCACTTCATTCCTCCATGTTTCATTCACAGGTGTTTATCACACCATCTGCTCTGGGACTGAGGCTGCAGAGGGGGAAGGGAGGAGCACGCAGGTGTATGTGGCTCAAGCAAAGAGAGCTGGGGTATGCCTGGGGGGTCAAGGAGAGTTTGAGGAGTGGTGGGAACGCAGAGTGGGCCTGACCTGGTGTGTATGACCTGGGCAGGCCTTCCCGAGTGGGACAGGCATGTAAGGCCAAGTCTGATGAATGGGCAGAAGTCAGCCAGGAGAGAGGGGAGTTGGTGGAAAGTCTAAGCCGAGAAGATGGAGGAGCCTAGAATCTGTGAGAGGCGAGGGCAAGCCTAGAAAAGTAGGCAGGTTGAATCTCAGATCTGTACCTCTGAAACAAATAATGCAATATATGTTAAGAAAAAAAAAAAAAGAAGAAGAAGAAGAGGGTAGTGGGAGGGGAAGAGTGAAGCGGGGGAAATCGGAGGGGTAGACGAACCATGAGAGACGGTGGACTCTGAAAAACAAACGGGGTTCTAGAGGGGAGGGGGGTGGGAGGATGGGTTAGCCTGGTGGTGGGTATTGAGGAGGGCACGTTCTGCATGGAGCACTGGGTGTTGTGCACAAACAATGAATATGGAACACTTCATCTAAAACTAATGATGTAATGTATGGGGATTAACATAAGAATAAAAAATAAAATAAAATAAAACAGTAAAAGTAAAAGTAAAAAAAAAAGAAAAGAAAAGAAAAGTAGGCAGGCCCCATCCCACAGGAGGGCCTGGCAGGTGATGATAATGATGTTGTGCTTTATCCTAAAGGCAATGGGGAACCATGGAAGGTGTTAGAGAGAGGGTGATGTGATGATCCCAGGCCAGCTCCCTACATAGTCTTTGTCTACCTGTGGGAGTCAGGAATTTAACTACTTTCACTTTCCTTTCTCTGCCTGTTACCTGGATCTCAAGATATTTCTTAAGCACACAGTTCCCAGAGCCTTCCTTCTGCCTGAAGGGACCTGGGTTCAAATGCCAGCCCTGCCACTCCCTGGCCCTATCGCTTCAAGCAAATTATTAAGCTCTTTCACCTTCAGTGTCCTCACCCATAAAATGGAGATAATGATCCCTTTGCACAATTACACAAAGTATGAGGGGAAAGTGCATGGCATAGAGCCACTTAGGAAAAAGAGTCCAGTTGAATTCCTTCTGTGCAAAGTCAAACTGAAGCCGTGGAGGGGGGCTTGAGGGGGCATCCCAAAGAGCAGGCAAAAGTTCCATTTCTGGAAAGTGGCCCCGTAGCCCTGCTGGGCCTAAGCACGGTGGAAGGTATGGTTGGCTGAGGCCTTGTCCGGACAGCCTGACTGTATGGGAGGTGAGCTCAAATGAGAACTCCCCCCACCCCTTCCCCGACCCCCTGGAGCTAGACTTCTGGACTTTCTTAGACCAGGAGTCGGCAGGTGAACACAGCTTACATAACCGATCAGGAGTCCGACACCTTTCACCCAGTGATCAGGGCCATGTTTGCTGAGAAGAGGTGTTTCCAGGTCACCTCCCGGTCCTCCTAGGCACACACACAGCCCCTCAGCCCTTGCTGAGCTCTGCTTATTTTCAGAATTCTTACACTCCCCAATGTTACTGTCAGCAACAGCTATGATTTTTATTTTATTTTTGTAAAGATTTTATTTATTTATTTATTTATTTATTTATTTATTTGTCAGAGAGAGAGCACAAGCAGGGGGACTGGCAGGCAGAGGGAGAAGCAGGCTCCCCGCTGACCAAGGAGCCCGATGCGGGGCTCGATCCCAGGACCCTGGGATCATGACCTGAGCCAAAGGCAGACGCTTAACCAACTGAGCCACCCAGGCGCCCCAACAGCTATGATTTTTAAATGTGAAAGTCATCCCTGGTGCCATTTAACGATGAGGCATTGGAGGAGCAGTGGGGGACAAGGGCTACAGCAGGGACCAGAGAGCGGACCAGGGTATGAGTCCTAGACTCCTCCTCCTCTTAGCTCAATGACCTGGAGCCAGTCGCTTGGAGTCTCTTAGCCTCAGTTTTAACAGCTGTAAAATGGGTTTAGTGGCCATACTTACCTCATGAAATTCTTTTGAGGATTCAACGAGGGAATAATGTATACAAAGGATTTTGCAAATTACCTGGCACCTGGGAAGTGCTCCTCGAGGGTTAGCTACCAACATCACACCATGTTTTGTAACCTGTCCTTTCTACTCAACTCATTATGAACCTCTCTCCAGTGACAGTAGGGAATTTAACACTTGAGATTTCCTGACACATCCCGAACTCCTGACTGCCAAGGATCACAGGGCTGCAAGCTGGGAATCCCAAATTTTAATCTCCTGTTTAAAATTTGGGGTCCCACCTTCACAGACCCTAGTCCCCACTTCCCACTTGCGGAACAACGGGGGGATGAGGGTGGAGATCAATGTTTGCTAAAGGCCCTGCTCTCTGATTCTGCATTTCAGAACTATAGACACCAGAGTCTGCACCTCACCCTCTCCTTCCTTCCTTCAGCAAACATCACCCAGGATTCATGTCCCAACTCTGCCACTTTTCGGCTGTGTGACCTTGGACAAGTTATGAAACCTCTCTGTGCCTCAACTTCCTGATCTCTAAAAGGGGAATATACTACCCATTTCCCAGAAGTGTTATGAGTAGAATGAGTATTTGTAAAGTGCTCAGAATAGTGCTTGTTTGACTAGAACAAAGACTGAGTGCCCACACTGCCAGGCACTGATGTAAGTCCCGGGACACAAGTGTGCACAACCGGACAAGAGTTCTGACCTCACTGAGGATTTTGGAGGTGGGGGCTTGGCTAGAAATCAACGCCAGTGATGAGCCCCAAGGTGGGGTGGTGTTGACTATTCTCCTGCAAGGGGGTTGGCCTTAAAAAGGGCCTTGATGGGGGCTCCTGGTTGACTCAGTCCATAGAGCATACAACTCTTGATCTTGGGGTCGTGACTTTGAGCCCCACGGAGGGCACAGAGCTCACTTTAAAAATAAATAGATAGAAGGGCGCCTATGTGGCTTAGTTGGTTAATTGTCCCACTGTTGATTTTGTCTCAGGTCGTGATCTCAGGGTCGTGGGATCGAGCCCTATGTAGAGCTCTGAGCTCAGCTCGGAGTGCTTGTTCCTTTCCCTCTGCTCCTCTCCCCACTCTCTCTCAAATAAATAAATAAAATCTTAAAAAGATAGATAGATAGATAGGTAGATAGATAGAGAGAGAGAGAGAGAGAGAGAGATCATTGCAAAATTCATATGTTGAAATCCTAACCCCTAAGGTGATGGTATTAGGGTGTGGGCCCTCTCAGAAGTGATTGGGTCATAAGGGCATAGCCTTCATGAATGGAAAAGTGCCCTTATGAAGGGACCCCAGGAGTTCCCTCCCACACTGCACCATGTGAGGACACCACCCGAAGATGGCTGTCTGTGAACCAGGGAGCGGGCTCTTGCCAGACACCAAATCTACTAGCGCCTTGACCTTGGACTTCCAGCCTCCAGAACTGTGAGAAATAAATTTCTGTTGTTTATAAACCACCCAGGCTGTGGTATTTTGTTAAAGCAGCCCAAGCAGACTTAGATAATCATCATCCCCATTTCACAGAAGAGTTTATGTCTGTCCCCCTCCCCATCCCCACTGGCCCCAGGACCTAGCACATCGGGGAGGGGGACAGTGAGTGAGTGCTGAATGCAGGAGGAAAGGAACGAATGAACACGAGGACAGGCTGATAGCAACCCTTCCACGGGTCAGGGGTCAGGGGCCCCTTGGGTCCTGGAGGGCAGGGGTGCAAACGTATGTGCTTGTGGCCACCACCCGGGGCTCGGTGGAGACATCCCCAGACTGGGCAATTGCCGGTGTCTTGACTTCCTCTTCCATCACCACAGGTGATGCTTCCCTAAACACTTACTGTGTGTGCCCCAGGCACTGATCTTAGGTTTTCTTCATGTGAACTCTTTTAATCCTCATAAGACCCCATGATGTATGTCCCATTTCACAGATGAGGAAGCTGAGGCACAGAGCAATGATACCACACCCAGGGTCCCGTGGGTAGTCAGTCAATGATGGAGCTGACTTCAAATCCAGGCAGTGTGGATCCCACGCCTGAGCTCCCACCCACTGTACTGCGGAGACATTCTCCTTCTCTTTTCACCCCTGCTCCTCCGACTTCAAACATAGCATGTACCCTGCAGGGGGAAGAGACTAGAAATCAATAGCAGAAGAAAAACTGGAAAATTCACAAGTATGTGGAAATTATACAACACACTCTTAAGCAACTAGTGAGTCAAGGAAGAAATCGCAAGGGAACTTAGCAAATATCTCGGGAACGAATGAAAACGAAAACACAACATGCCAAAATCTCTGGGATGCAGCACATGCAGGACTAAGAGGGAAGTTTATAGCAGTAAATGCTTACATTAGAAAAGAAAGATCTGAAAGCAAAAGTAAAAATTCAAGCGTTGCATGATTGTATGCTATAGAAAGCAAAAGTTTAAAAAACGGAAGACTCCCATGATGTTCCTCCCTGGAGATAACCTCTGTTTAACAGTGTGGTATAGATGCTTCAGATCGTTGTTTGTTTGTTTGTTTGTTTTCCCAACCTTGCAGGAATATTATCATTAAAAAAAAAAGCAAAAATGAAATAACACAACACACGTTGTTTTGTCACTTTCATGTTTTGTTTTGTTGTACTTAACAGTGACTCTTGGAGGCTGTGCCTTGCTGGAACATTCTCTTCAGGGACTGCAGTTGTCCGGGACGAGGATATCCACACTAGATTCAGCCAGTTCCATCAGGATATGTCTGGGGGTGTTGGCAGTTTCTAACTATTTCCAGCCACTCTGCGTGAGCACCCTCGTAAGTGCCCCTGTGTGCTGGTGGGAGGCGTCTTGGCCAATAATTCCCAGAAGCAGAATCTCTGGGCCAAAGGACAAGAACGTTTTTAAGGTTCCCTCCTAGAAGGCGAAGCCAGCTTTCCTTAGAGAGTAGGAGAGAGTTGTATCCCCTCACCTCACCATCCCTGCTGTCATCTTTGCCCAGCTGGCCTGTATGAGATCCAATTGTTGTCTTGCCCTGCCAAGCCTCACCCTCGAGAGTGACCCAGCCTCTTGTGATGACAGTCCCGTTGCTACCCAGTAGGGTCCAGAAACTGACCCTTCTTGTCAGGACTATCCATTGGATGGCTGAGACTGGAGCACTTTCTCAAAAACCCCAGAGTTTGTTTTTTCGCTCATTTAGGAACGCCAGCAGTGTCCGAAATAAGCCGTTGGAGAGAGGCCAGGGCTGCCCGGCGCAAACTGCCAGAGCCCCAGTGTCGGGGCGAGTGGTGCCTAGGCTGGCCTCTGATAAGCATCTCCACACATGTGCAGCTGCGCTGGCTGAATTCCCTCCAGAATCCAGCTAGTGGCTTTTTCCCCTGAATCATCATGACTCCCACAACACAAGCGCTGACGTGATCAGCGTCCTTCGGGGCCACTCGTAGCAAACATTTCCCCCCAAAATATTCATGGGTTTGTCCGGCTGCCACCTCCGAGAGTTGCAGGCAGTCAACTATGATTGCCAGTGGCGGGGGGGATGCGGGGGGGGGGGGGCAGAGTCACAGGGAGAGTGGCCAGTCACCTGGAGGCCAGGGCAGGGTCCTTATCATGCCCTGTAAGCTTTGCCTGGGGTAACTTTAAGCAAAGCGCTTGCCTAATGTGAGGCACACTGTACATTCTGTTCCCTCTTACCTGGACCCCTTCCTGCCACACACTCGGCCCTCACTGCTTTGCCTGGCCCGCTCCTTGTCACTCTATAGACCTCAGCATCAGCTGTCACTTCGGCGGGGAAGCCCTCGCTGACCCCTCCAGGCAAGGACGGCCCCTTTCTAGATACTCTTAGAGTTCCAAGCTTTGTAGCACTTAAAACAGCAGTGTCCGCTCATTATGTGGGTCATTGCTATTTATGTCTCTCCCCACCCAGGCAGGGAGGCCCACAAAGTAGGGTGTGTGTCTTGGTCTGTATCCCAGTGCCCGGAAGAGGTGCATATCAGTGCCTAGTGGGCAGTGGTTACAGGCATGACGTCAGAGCCAGGCTGCCCAGGTTGGAATCCTGCCTCTGTGAACTAGGGCAAGTTACTGAACCTCTTTGTGCCTTAGTTTGCCCATCTGTAAAATGGGGATAATAGCACTTACCCCATTACATGAGCGGATACAAGTGAGGTGCTTGGAATGGGTGCCTGGTCTGTAGAAGATGCAAATCAGTGTTAATGTTAGCCTGAAACACTAGCGGTTGGACAAGGTTCTCCAAGGTTCTATCTGCACTGGGGTCTGCTACTCAGCACCGTCCTGCAGGGAAATTGCTTAGCATGTTGCAAGCATACCTTATATTGTGCTTTTTGTGGTGGTGGTGGTTGTGTCAGGGTTGAGCCATATGCCTGCAACTCTGGGGCCAGTGATGAAAAGCCCCTCCGAGTCACGTTATTCTGCCTCCTCTGCTCACTCCGTGCGTATCTCTCCACCCCTGCTACTCCTGACAAAGCCGGACCTTCCTCTGCATAACCTAGCTCAGATTCCTCAGAGGACTTTGCCACGACCTTGTCGGGGCAGAGCTTTGCTGCCCTGGGGCAGGGGCCCGAGCAGCTGTCCCCAGGGACGGTGCTATGGTAGAGGGTGGGGAACCACTCCACGGGAGGGGGCTCGAACCGGGCTGGTTTTCTAGTGCTTGGGCCCCTCAGGACAGCTGCACCGTAGGGAGGCACCATGCTGTCTGGGGACTCAGTCACGCCGTCAGATTGTCTCTGCTTGCAGAACAAAGTGCACAGCCTTTAGGGGGCAGCCCAGCCCCTGCCCGCCCCTCCTCTGAGAAGCCCTTGTGAACCCCTTACAAAGCCCCGCATCATACAGGACCCCACCCCATTGGCTGACTGGCTCCCTCACGTGACCCGAGATGGGCCAATCAGATTCCAGCTTGGCAAATTGACTCTGAACTAGTCTCCGCTGGCCCGTGAACTACCTGCCAAGGTGTAGTCGCCTGCCCAGAGAAACAGGCAATGGGACAGGTGGCCGTTGGCCCTAAGAATTCAGGAGTGGCCTGCTGGTCTCCCGGGTCTCCGATCTGGTCCCTAGCAAGCGGGACAGCGCTGCTTCCTCTCTCTCCATATACTAGAGGCCTTACCCCCTTAGAGCCAAGCGTGGGTGGGCGCCCCTTCCTTCACCCACCCCAGCTTGCCTTTCCCCGCGACACTTGCCCTGCCTCTGCGGAGGAAACCCTGCGGCCCCTTCCGCGGCTGATTTACTGGTCTAGCTCAGGCTGACCCCTCGGCCTTCCGGGAAGCATCTGCAGGGCTGTTCTCGTCACTGCCCTGGGGGCCGCCATGCGTGGGGACCAGTTCGCAGGAAGCCCTGGAGTCTGGGTCAACTCATGCCTCCGCTCTGGCTGAAGAGGACCAGGCAGGGGGAGGAGCTAGGCCCTGCTTAGGGCGCTTGTTTAGTTTTCCTTTTGCGAAATGGAAATTGTTTTATAAATTCGGACGTGTAGTTGTACGCAAACACAGAAGAGTTTAAAGAAAAAAGTCTACTTCACGTCCGATCCGTCACCCAGAAAATGCACACACACGAAGCCCCCCCCCCACTCCCCCGGAAAGGAAATCAGACTGTATATACAGTTGGAACCTGCTTCTTTTTTTTTTTAAGAGGCCATCTTTCCTAAAATATAGCTTTATTGGAGTATGATTGACATGCAATAAACTGTACATATTTAAAGTGTATGGGTTTCAACATATGTGTACCCCCCCGAGTCCATCACCACATTCACCGAGGACGAGCTTATCTATCACCTCCAAAAGTTCCCTTAGGCCGTTTTGGAACCCCTCCTGCCACCCCAAACACACACACACACACACACACCAGCAAACACTGATCCTGCTTTTTTGTCCTACAGATTAGTTTGTATTTTCTAGAATGCGATATAAATGGAATCATACACTATGGCTTCTTTTATTTTGAGATCCATACATGTTGTGTGGATTGATAGTTCCTTTCTTTTTATTGGTAAGTAGTATTCCACTGTGTGGATATACCGTTTTGTTTATCTGTTCACCTGGTGATGGACCTTTGGGTTGTTTCCAGTTTGGGGCTGTTAGATGTAAAGCTGCTGTAAACATTTATATATCAGTTTTTGTATGGATCTGTGCTATTACTTCTCCTGGCTAAATACCTTGGAGTGGAATGGCTGAATCACATGGTGAGTGTATGTTTAACTGTTTAAGAAACTACCAAACTGTTGTCTAAAATCATTATACCGCCCCACAAGCACTGTATGTGATTTCCAGTGACTCTACATCTTTGGAAATATTTAATATGGTCACTCTTTTTAATTTCAGGTATTCTAATAGGTGTGTAGTGGCATCTAATGATGGCTTTATTTTGTGCATCCCTGGTGACTATGGAGTGGAACTTCTTTCATATGCTTATTTGAGGCTGTCTTTGTATATGGCTGAATGGAGATCTACATTATTCTTAATGACTGTGTAGTCCTACCACATTGGATCCATCTTTTTATTTCATCAAGACCCTACCGGTGGACATCTTGGTTGGCTTTGATATTTTGCTGCTCCATGTAACGCCTCGGTATACAACCTTGTATGTGCATTTCTGCGTATTTGTCTATTTCCATCAGGTGGCCTTGGTGGGTAAAAGGAAGGCACGCTTTTAAAGCTTTTGAAACGCATTGATAAATAGCTCCCCTGGAAACCTGCACCCATTACAGCCCGCCTCATTGACAGCATGGAGGAAACAGTCCCTGCTTCTAATTTCAGGCAGAAGCCTCCAGAGCGATGACTTGCAAGGTTTGAGGAAGTCTTTCAAGTATGACCCCATGACTTCTGGCCAGAAGCCAGAAATAAGGTCCGATGGCCACAGGACTCCTTTGGCGTGCCCTTGGAAAATCATTAAGATGGTCTGGGGAGGGGCGGCTGTTCGGGGATGGTCTGGGAAGGAGAGGAGAAGCTGGGGTCAGGCTTGGGTGTGAGCCCAGCTATATTCACTCCTGACCTGTGACCTTGGGACAGCCACTTGACCTTTCTAACCACGGTTTTCTCAGATGTGGAATAAAACAAATGATAGTAACCCCAAGAATGTGAGAGCCCTTTACAAAGTCAAAAACATTCCACAAAGGTGTGTTGTGAGGAGCCTTTGTTTCCTCTCCAGAAATGTGGGCGGCACACACTTCCTCCTGGGTTCCTACCTGAATGACAACTGCCTGTTAAGGAAGGGCAGGACCTGGCGAGGGAGGGAGGAAGAGTGTGGTGGGCACAATGATGATTCCCTCTCCCCCCCGCCCCCCCCCACCCAGAGGTGTCCACATTCACATCCAGGGATTACTGTGAATATGTTAGGTTACATGGCAAAGGGGATTAAGGCAGCAGGTAGAATTAAGATTGCTACTCAGCTCACCTTAAAATAGGGAGATTATCCCGGATTATCTAGGTGGGCTCAATGTAATCACAAGGGTCCCTCAATGTGAAAGAGACTGAAGAAAAAAACAGACGGCAACATGGGAAGGACCATGTCATGTGGTTGGCTTTGAAGATGGAGGAAGGGGCCATGAAGCAAGGAATGCAGGAAGCTTCTAGAAGCTGGAAAAGATAAGGAAATGGATTCTTTCCTAGAGCCTCCAGAAGAATGCAGTCCTGGGAACACCTTGATTTTTGCCCAGTGAGACCCAGTTCAGACTTCTAACCTCCAGAACCGTAAGATAAAAAGGTTTATGTTGTTTTAAGCTACTAAATTTGTGGTAAGTTGTTACAGTAGCCATAGGAAACTAATCCAGGAGGACAGGTGGGTCCATCGGGAGCAGAATGCCTGGAGAAGGATTGGAGTGCCCCCACTTCCCGAATTCCTCAGTGGGGAGTGGCACCAGCAAATGGGTAGCAGCAGGCTTCCTTGTGTCCTCTGGGGAACATTGAACAATGTTTCTTGCTTTGGTATGGATTAATGGCAGGTGACAGAGGAAGGTAACCCCGTGCAGGGGGCCTTGAAAGCCAGGCTGTGGGTATTCTGGAGGCAGTGTGGGGCCGTTGAGGGTTTCAGGCAGGGCAAGGAGACGATGAGAACTTGCTTTTAGCAGTAGGGATGGGGTGAAAGAGCACTGGGCTTGGAGTCAGAGAACTGGGTTCAAATCCCAGCATTGCCTCCCCAGGCAACGTTGGGGCAAGTTACTAATGATCTCTAGATTTGGATTCCATTTCCTAAAAACACTGGGGCTATTTCTGGAGTCCTTCCCAGTCACGGAACACAGCTGGCCCAGACCAGGCAGGGCCTCTTGGGATCAAAGGGAATTCTCTGGCCTAATACCCAGAGGGTAGAGAAAGTTTAAAATAACAATAATAACAATAATAATAATAAAGCAACATGCATTGAGCAGTAACCATAGGTTAAGAATTTCACGTAATGAGGGTGCCTGGGTGGCTCAGTTGGTTGAGTGACTGCTTTCAGCTCAGGTCATGATCCCCAAATCCTGGGATCGAGTCCCACATCGGGTTCCCAGCTCAGCGGGGAGCCTGCTTCTCCCTCTGACCCTCTTCCCTCTCATGCTGTTTTTCTCTCTCTCTCTCAAATAAATAAATAAAATCTTAAAAAAAAAAAAAGAACTTCATGTAATGAATCTCATTTAATCTTCTTACCATCCTGTCGACTCCCCAGTGCTCTTAGGTTAAAGGTCAGCACTGTGACCCACAAGGCCCTGCCCGTGTGGTCCTGCTGACCTCTGGGGCCTCATCTCAGACCTCTCTCCCCTTTACCGTGCACTCAGTTTCTCTCTGTCCCAGAAACGAATGGGACATGCACCTTGCACTTCAGGGTCTTTACATAAGCCATTCCACCCACCAGGAATGCAGCAATCCTGCCCTCCACCCTCTTGGCTCCTCCTTTCTCCCATCTCAAGATGGCGGTCTAGTTGCCCTGCCTTCCAGCTAAATCAGGTTCCTGCGTACTTGCACTTGATTTCAGATGACATGGCCCCATATACAAGTACATAAAAGTACATACCTATGTAGTTACCCATTCCTCCCCTTGGGCCATGGGGGCCAAGAGGCCAGAATGGTAAATGTTTGCTGAAAGGAAGAAGGAAGGAAAGAAACAACGAATTAACAAATAAGTGTTGCTTTAAGTGCTGAATGAATGAATGAGTAAAGAAATATCAGTTTCCTGAAGGAACAAATCAATAAATTACCATTTGCTGTGGGAATAAACAACAGAGCCCAAAGGTTGATATGGTTATCAGCCTCATCAAGAGAAGATCAAGGGGGGCGCCTGGGTGGCTCAGTTGGTTAAGCGACTGCCTTCGGCTCAGGTCATGATCCTGGAGTCCCGGGATCGAGTCCCGCATCGGGCTCCCTGCTCGGCGGGGAGTCTGCTTCTCCCTCTGACCCTCCTCCCTCCCATGCTCTCTGTCTCTCATTCTCTCTCTCTCTCTCAAATAAATAAATAAAATCTTAAAAAAAAAAAAAAAGAGAGAGAAGATCAAGGGTTTACCCAAAGTCAAAAGGTGAACCTGAAAGGCTCCTCTCTTTGCAGGAGGCGGGGGCTGGGGACAGGGCCCATCTGAGCCAAAGGGTCACCGCGAGTAGGGGTCAAGGCTGGAGGAACTTGGGCCTACCATGAGGCAGGTCTGCTGGGGAAGCATCTTCAAGGGCAGCACAGAAAGAGGATGTGCTGAGCACAGCTGCCTCAGCAGAAGAGGAAGGAACTGGCGGGAGGTGGCGGGGGGAAGGGGGTGTGCGCTGGCCCCAGATTCTACTCCCTGCAGCCACAGCAGATCTGCCCCACGGTCCAGACCTCCACCAACCCCCACCCCGCCCCGCCACTTCTGTAATACTTTCACACGCTCACTCTGTCTAATGTTGCTCTTTATCTGGTTTTTCAAGCTGGATCACACCAGGCGTGGATAAGGGTTGGAGGCCTGACCCACTTACCTACTGCAGGCTGGAGTATAAATTGCTACGACTGAAAAAAAAAAAAAAAACTGCTACGACTGTTTTGGAGGGTGACTTAAGCACTACCTGTGCAACCTTTTAAAATGTGTATCCTCTGACCCTGCAATTCCACTTCTGGGGATTTATCCTAAAGCTACTCTAATGTCAGTTGGCTGTGATCTTCACACAAGGAGGTAGCACTGTTTGTCGTGGCCAAGAACTTCCATCAGTAGGAGATGGGTAAGAAAATTATGTTTCATGGACCTTCCATGGAAAATTATGCAGCCACTAAAAGGATTCCCTCATCCATACGAACTGACATAGGAGGATGTTCACGATATATGTATGGACTAAGATTTTTTTTAAGTTGCCAAACAATCTATGTTTCCATTATCTACTGCTCAGTAACACACCATCCAGAAACTGGCCATTCTTCAGTTCCACAAAGCATCAGAAGGACTCACTCATATGGTTGCATTCACCTGGGAGCTTGGCTGGGCTGGAGCTTCCAGGGTGGCCTCTCATCCACCAAGCCCTGTCCATGTGGCCCCTAATCGTTCTGTGGTCTAGCCTGAGCTGCCATAGAGCAGGGCGGCTGGATCCCAAGAGTATTTCAAGAGGCTAAGCTTCCAAGCGCAAGTACTTACCAAGCCCCAGCTTGCATCATGCTTTGCTCATGTCCCCTTGCCCAAGGCAAGTCACGTGGCCAGTTCCAAAGTCAGTGTGAGAGGGGTCCATGCCAGGGCATGGATGCTGGGAGGCAAGATGCATTGGGGGCCAATACAGTAACGATCTAGCACCATACATGTAATTCGATAATATTTTATTAAGAAACTATGCGTGGGGGCACCTGGGTGGCTCAGTCAGTTAAGCGGCTGCCTTCAGCTCAGGTCATGGTCCCAGGGTCCTGGGATCGAGCCCCGCATCAGGCTCCCTGCTTGGCAGGAACCCTGCTTCTCCCTCTCCCACTCCCCCTGCTTGTGTTCCCTCTCTCGCTGTGTCTTTCTCTCTGTCAAATAAATAAATAAAATATTTTTTTAAAAAAAGAAACTATGTGTGTCCTTACTAAAATATCATCTCACATATATGTTGGATAATACATATGTGTATGTACATGTTTATATGTTTGTATGTGCATTGATGTAAAGCTGAAAGACAGTTCAAGAAACTGCTAGCAGTGTTTAACTTTCAGGAGTAGAAATGGGCAGATAAACAGGGACCTTTCGGTTTTTACTTTATACATTTCTTTAGGGTTTGAATATTTTAAAAGTGAGATGTGTTATTTTTTCTTAAAGATTTTATTTATTTATTTGAGAGAGAGAGAGAACGAGCAGGGGGAGGGGCAGAGGGAGAAAGAGAAACAGACTTCCCATTGAGCAGAGAGCCCAACGTGGGCCTTAATCCCAGGACCCTAAGACCATGACCTGAGCAGAAGGCAGACGCTTAACCGACTAAGCCACCCAGGTGCCCTGAGATGTATTATTTTTGCAATAAAATGTGTGTGAATGTGCTGTGAAAATCTTTGCAGTCATCAGCAATTTTCAGTACGACTCTTGCCAGGGCAGCTCTCATTCAGCTGATGCTGGGCATTTAGGCTGCTTCCCATTGTTCTCCTTTGTAGGCCGTGTTCTGATGAACATCCTCCGAGCCAACTTGCTCACAAGTCCTCAATTATTATCTCAGGACAAGTTCTGAGGCAAGGAATTGCTAAGTTGAAGGTTAGGAACATTTGAAGGATGTAACACCTTCTGCCAGGTTGTCCTGCTGACCGACAGACAGATTCTCCCATTCCACCTAGCAGGCTCGAGGGCCACAGTGTGGGCCCGTCTTGTGTCCACCCTCCTAAGAACCCAGTACCCATTTCACAGACAAGAGAACTGAGACCCAAAAAGAGGAAGCAACTGGCCCAAGGCCCACAGAATTGCAGGCAGCCCAGGAGGACCAACTCAGCCAGGGCCTCCTTCATTGCCCATCACATCTCCAAGCTCCCTGCCAGGCCCTGTCTCCCCTCCACCCTTCCCCTCAGGGGAAAGACCAACCTTCTCAGGACAGTGAGTGATCTGGGCCCTGCTTGCCTGCCCACCCACCCCTCCCTTGCCACTTCCTGCCCTCGGCCTCTGACTTCACCTGGATTAACCTGTTTTCAGTTCCCCGAAGGACTAGAACACTGCCTAGTCGATGAACCTTTGTACATGCTGTCCCCTCTGCCTAGAACAGCCCCTCGCCACAATCCCCTCTCCCCCACTTCCTCCTGGAAGCCTTCCCTGATCACCTGAGGGGAAGTTCAGTAACATGCTCACATGGACACCGCCAGAGTTTCCATTCACTCAGGACTTTGTGCGTTCATGTATTCACCAAATGGTTACAGAGACACTTTTCTATGCCAGGTACCAGGCTGAACAGCAGGGATACCAGAGTGAACGGACCCTCCCTGCCCTGCCCAGCTCACATCTCAGTCTGGGCTGGGGGAGGAGAGGGAACTGGGGAGTGGGCAGATGGTGCCAGTCCGTGTGTGAACAGTGCTGGGCTGGGCATGGGCCATAGGCAGGTGGGAGAGCCCAATGTGCCTCCAGCTAGACTCACAAAGCACCCATCTAAACAGGAAAAATCCCTCAGAGCTCCAGAGGTGACATAGATGATTTCAATCCTTCTGTTTCCTAAATATGTATGAGCTTGCACTTGACAACCCTAGCAGCTCGCATTTATTGAGCCCCTGCTTTGTGCACCTGACATGTATTAACTCATGTCAGTCCCCTTTAGGGACTATTATTGTCCCCATTTCACAGAAGAGGAAACTGAGGCTCGGAGAGACGAGTTGTTTGCCCATGGTCACCCAGCTGGGAAGTGGCAGAGCTGGGATTTAGACACACACAGTCAGGCTCCCGGGTCCTGCCCACTTGGCTGCACACACAGCTACAAATTAAGCACAAACCGATCTACAAGAACAACATTGAAACTGCTGCACAAACTGCATGTGATGTTGTTGTTGACAGGTGATGATGTTTCGCGAGAATGAGGTTGCCCCCTGAACACTGCTGAGTTCAGCCCGTGTGTTCCCCAGGGGGCCTTGGCCCGCCTAGGACTGTTCGCTTTTCAAACCACAGGGAAATCATCAGCTTTTGTCCTTCACTCAGCATAACAGCACTTTTTTCATTTGTACTTTAATTTCTGGAACACTAACTACTTTCACATTGTTCCAGAATTTTTTTAAACATTAGATAGAGAGATACTAGATAAATAGATGAGAGAAATCTGGATACACTTCCGACCCTTCTTCCCTAGGAGTCAGTGTTATGAGCCTCTTGTGTGTCTTTCCAGAGAGTGTATATTCTGTTTTCTCTCATTAAAAAGGGGAAAGTCTCCACATCCGTGCCTCTGCTCCCTGCTAGTTCCACCAAACAGAGCATCTTGGAGATCACTTCATGTGGACTAGAAAAGGCTTCCTCATTCCTGTTCACGTTGTGTGAATGTGCGTTGTGTCCCGGCCTATCCTCTGCCCGTGCACATGAGGGTTGCTCCTGACCTTCACGGTTCCCTGTGTTGGCATTAGTAATTGCAGGAAGCAGCCTCGAAGATGGCCCCCAGTGATGCCCA